TTTTGAGCATGTCTACGCACTTAAAAAGGAACATCTGTGTTAAACTTAAAGCCTAATTTACAATATTTTTCATGTAAGAGCTGTGAAAGTACAAAATTTTACAAAATTGTTTGCAGAAATACTGCCATTTCCTTTTCACTGCTTTTACCGACGCATTTGTGTCAGCCGAAGTCTAACCCTGTCAGAGGCTATCATTATTTTGAATAGGAAGTTATGCAGTTGTTAACTTGACACCTTTTTTTAAAAAGCAGTGCAGGCGCTTGAAGTCTGTAGCGTGTCTGGCCTCTGTGGTGCGTTTTTTCATGGAAAATGGGTAAAAGAGGAAACGCAACATCATTCAAAATATCCCTCCACAAGTGTCATTGTTGTGACAAAGGCAGGTGCTTCACCCACTGTCTGTCCAGCTCAGCCCAGAAAGCAGGCGACCGTTTCAGTAGTCCCTCACAAAGAAAAGGCAGCCTGTTATCATTTCTCCAATTAATATTCGCCCTTAACTCACTGCATCTCTCTGCTGACATTTCCATTTAAATTGTTTATCTGGCAGTGGGTGGTGTGACTGCGTAAATGAATCTGGTTATGTTTACTGAAAGGTGGTAATTACTACGCTGGCAATGAAATAATCAAAGTCGAGCAATTTGGTTGGTGGTTATTAGGGATCACAGTCTAAGAATCCCTGTTCAGTGAAGTAATGCTTTTCATGCTCCACTGCAGGGGAGACAGTGCTTTTTTTCTACCCAGCTCTCCATTACTTTTTGTCATGGCTGCTTCACACTTCCTTAAATGTTGCAACACACCATGCAAATAATTCAAAATATTTTGTTAAAACACCCCTCGTGCATGATGAACTGACACTTTACTTTGTATCCAGTCTCTTAAATGGTTAAGGAATTTCTTTGAACTGCTTAAATGACTGCATTTAGTGTAACTACCAAAAGTATTCACCCCCCCCTCCCCCATTTCCATTTTATTGTGGTTCAATATGGAATCATAATGTATTTGACTGGCAGTTTTTACCATTGACAAACTCTATAATAAAGTGTCAAAGACACTTTAGACATATTATAAATATAAAATGGAAAATAACTGATTACATGAGAAGTCACACCCTTGGAATCAATATTTGGTAGGAGCACGTTTAGCTGAAATTACATGTATGAGTCTTCTTTGATAACGTTCTACCAGCTTTGCACATTTGGACATTGCAATTTTTGTCTATTCTTCTTTGCAAAATTACTCAGACTCTTTCAGGTTGGATGGAGATCATTTACTTTTTTTTCTTTTTAAGCTTCTTTTCTTTTTTGGGACCATCAACCTACTGGAAGATGAATCATCTCTTGCAGACTGGTGGACTCCAACAATGTGACAGTTCATTCACAGTTAGAAATTTGACTTCTAAAGACATTTGGTTGCATCCGAGCCTATTTACTGTAGGTGTTTCATAGTAAAAGGGAGTGAATACTTATGCAGTCACTTATCATTTATCTTCTGTTTTAGATTTATGATTAATTTAGGATGATCTGTAGAATTGTTTATTCAGTTTGAGATTGCAGAGTGTTTTGTGTTGATCAAAAGCAAAACATCCCAAATACCTTGTAATTCTATATTGTAACACGGTAATATATGAAATAGTCCAAGGGGATGAATACTTTTGATAGCCACTGTAGATAACTGACAAAGCTGATGCTTGCTGCTGTGTTAACTGTCTATGCTTTTCATACTTTGCTAGACACAGTATTAACTATTGAACATTCTTGATCTGTAGTTTTTTACTCCTAAGTCAGAATCGTGCTTTTCTTCAGATTTATAACAATCTGTCAAGGTGCTTTTCCATAAATTCAATAATATTCTTGCCCCTGTCAGTTCTTTGCTTCAGTTCTTATTTCTTTCTTGTTGGCCTTTTATTGTTCTGTTCTCCATCGTCTTAGGAATATTCGTACTTACTCTGACATGAAAACAAAAGCAAAATGTATCATCTGATTTGCTGTGTTTTTGTGTTTAGCTCATTTTTTTCCCATTCAACCATTTATCCATGCATTTTCTAACTGCTTTATCCAAAACATGGTCATGGGGGAGCCAAAGGCTATCTTGGCAAACAATGGATACAGGGCAGGATACACCCTGGATGGAACACTAGTTCCTCACAGGACACAACATACCCTCATTCAGGGACAGTTTTTTCAGAAGCCAATTCATCCAGTATGAATTTAGACCAGTATGTCTTTATACTGTTGGAGGAAACCTGGAGGAAAACCACAAGGAGGACAAGGAGAACATACAAAGTAATGCAGATAGCGCCCCAGGAATTGAAAGCAATGCTACTGTTCCACTGCACCACTATTGTGCCTTCATTGTTTCCATTTCTTAATAATTGTCTGTGTCAAAAAACAATTTCTTGGGTATTTTGATTTAATTAACAGATAACATGGTGCACAAAAAATCTACATATACCCCAAAATCAAATCAGATATGAGAGATGCATTTACAGTAGGTCTAAGTAAGAAGGTGTCCCAGAGCTTGCAATATCACCAGGAATTTTGTTTTCGCAAGTAGAAAATATCCTTTTTTCTTCCATGTAAAATCCAGTAGTTTATGAATTAGTTGTTAGCTGGGACATATCTGTTTGGAATGATATGACCTAAGTGACTAAATGTGTAATTTCCTTGACGTTTGTAGTGGTAATAGAGGACAAATGCAATTGCATTTCTGTTTTGATTGCTGATCAAATGTATTTTTGTGTGTCGGACAAGTACTTTGTGTCACATGTAATCCAGATTCATCTGATATATGTTGCTTACAAAAAGTTTGTGAAATTTGATAGTGGTACTGCCTGTTTAGTGGGGTATATTTTGCTCATTAAAGTTAAGGACTAGAGTGTGTCGATAATGGGAATGCTTTCAATCACAGCGTGGGCACAATGTGAGATTCATCCTTGACTGTTGAGTCACTTTTACTAAAAACCATGGCGACGGTATAGAGTCCTGTGCTGCTGTGTAGCCTGGTCCCTTCATCTGCAAAAGATGAGCTCTCAGCCTCAACAACATGTGCACATACGTTATGGAACCTACTGCAAATGATTTTAAATTCTGCCTTGCCTGCTTATTTTCTACAGATCATCTTCGAATTTCACTTTTGTCTTGTAAACTGTTTGTCCTAATTACGACAAGTGGTAGTCTTTATGATGTGAATTTTTTTAATTTGAGAAGAGGCTAAATGTAGCAGTTTAATGAGCAAGCTCTATAAATCACTAGTGCTGTCAATGCTACTCCTGCAACTTTGGCTGTATTCTGTTTATTAGTATTCCTCTATGCTGTCTCTAAGAAGGAGGTGATAATAAAGTGAATTATAATAATTAGTAATAATACCAGTACTAGTACTGGTCTAAAAGGTAATGACAATGATGATAATACCATTAACACATTTGTATAGAGAAAACTAGGTGTTCCTTATAGCTAATGAAGTACCTGAGCCAATAAGGAAAATAAACTCTTGTTATTTATACAGCCCCATATTTAGCATAAAAATTTAGCATTTTCAGAGATTTTGCTCTCTTCCATATTTGTGCAGAATACAAGCTTTTGAATGTGGATCTTTAGCACAGGTACATTACAGTAATAGACAGCAATACAGCGTCTTTACTAAGCTTTCCTTCAAGGAATGCTTAACAATGATAAAATTAGACTCTCTGTAGCAAAATTCTTTTAAATCAGTTAACACTGTCTAAGTGAGATCATGAGATTTTTCTTCAGGTAAAAAAAAATGAGTGTAAAATTTAATCATGCTCATCTTTATCTTTCTCAATGCATTAACATGAGGAAGTCTGAACATGCAGTGATATGACAGTAAAAATGCTTTATTGTAATCATTAATATCAAATGAAAAACTGGGAAGAATACAGTCATGTTTAAGATGACAGAAATAACCATTTGTAATCGTACTTTTCACGAGCAGTGTTTTTTTGATCGTGGTGGCTTTGTGAGACTCCGCTCAGTTCTGACAGCGATGAGATGAGATCTGTACATGTTGGGATGTAATGATGGAATATGTTCTGTATCCACCATAAAGTGCATAGCGTTAAATGGAAATACCAGTGTACTGCAAAACATAGCTTGACAGCTGCACACTACGGAGCCGAGGGGATTTATTCCCCCTGGCCTGGCCTCACAGGCCATGTGGCTGACTTTTAGAGAGAATCCACTGCTCCACAGAGACAGCGAGCGGCTTGGATGAGCCCAGATGTTGAACTCGGTACTCCCTCGTTTATTCTAATCTGTTAAATGTCCTATGAAACAAAGCACCGCACCACCTGCATTTTAAGCAGCGTCATGAGAGCTAAAGACACTGTAAGCAACTGCTGAATGTTAAAATGCTGCTGCTGTTGCCATGTATACAAATGATTATTTTTGAAGCTTTGTCTCCAGTTGACAGAAAAGAACTGAACCGCAATGAACAGCCCAGCAGTGCTTGGGGGGGGGGGCGTGGAGACTGAATTGAGAGAAACAATATAAAGGTGATTTTCTTAAGACTCCATCTTCAGTTTCTTAGGATCACCCAGCTGGCACACAGACGCTTCAATGCTTTTCCATTAATAAAATTGATTTTTTTTCTTTTAGCATTTTCCCCAAATTATTTTGAATAAAAACATAGATGTTGCAGCAATCATTGTTTCCCAGCAATTGTTTTCTTTAAGATAAAGCAGCACAGAGGAATGGATATCTTCACAAACTGCCCCTTTTTCTGTCCTGGGTTATTAGTGATATCCAGACTTCCAGTAGCTAAAACCACTACTACTGGATTTGTACCTCTATCCCACACCACTGATAGAAGCAAACAAACAAACCTGCTTCATGATCTCCAGAACCAGTAGACAGGACAGGATTGTTTCTGATTTTAACCACAATACAGCCAGGATTGGAGGCCTGTTCCAACTCCTTTTTGTCTTTTGTGGTAAGGAAATGCCCAAGTTGTAGTTAAAAAGCAAACATTCTGTTGTGTCTTTGTAGGGAAACATCACATTAATGGAAATAAGACTGAGCCGCCATTCCCTGAGGGATTGCAGATGGCCATGTTTGGTAAGTGATGCTCGTATTCCGAGAGGAAAAACGACAGTGGGGGGTGTCATGTAATTAGTTTTTTTCTAGTTAAAAAAAGGTTCAAAAAAAGAAGTGCAGAACAAAAAAAGAAAAAAAAAAGACAAATTAATTGCAGTTGATGATAACAATCTCATTTTAATAAAATGCATTACTTCAGCTGTAATTTTCTTTGCTCAGGATTCAAGCTAGATAATTAATCATTGCTAATGGAATTAAATCGATTTTTTTGTATACAGATATAAATATGTTTTACAGTAGCCCCTTAAATTTCGTGCCTACATATCATTTACAATCACAATATACTGTATTCTATAGGTTGTTAAAAAGGCGGTTCTAATCCTTGATTTTTCTAATATTTTTTTTTAAACTGACTTGATTAATTCCACTAGTCTCATTGGAAACTTGGATGAAAGATTTTACTATTCTTTCACACGCAATTATTGAGCTTCATTTGTATGAGGAAAAGACAAGTTTATCGATAGCAGAGAGAGTGCCTGAGTAATGATGCTCTGTGTTCCACTGCAAGGTCTGATCTAGTGACATTTCTATTTCCCGTTGTTTTTTATTTGTTCATATCAATTTACTAATTGCAGAAATTTGTATGAATATGCAAAAGTAAATTGTGAAGATTCTGAATATCCCTGAACTAATTTGTGGGATTCAGTTAAAAAAATTGTGGTTAGGAAAATTATCAGAAATGAAAAATAAACATTTTTGACAATCAGAATCAGTGCAATTCAACATAAAATAAAATACTCATGCACCAAGTTATTTCATTCTGAAAGGAACTTTTAGAAGAATTCTGAAAGGCCTTTTTTCATTGATCCCAGGAGTAGAGGAATCTTCAATAGCAGGGTCAGGACTAAAGTTGACTAATCTGGATTAAGATTTGATTAATAAATGGAAAACAGGGAGTACAGATAATGGGTGAATTCTCATATTGATGTGATATACTGTAATAGGATTATCGCAGTGGTTCAAGTGGGTAGCTGCGTCAGCATTCGTAGGTTGCAAAGGAACAAGTAAAGGTTTATTCTATACTATAAGCAAGCTGGAGTAAACCTTTACTTGTTCCTTATCACAGTGATTACTATTGCTGCCTCACAGTGCTGGGGCCCTGGTACAATTCCAGACCTGAGGTGCTATCCAGACCTGAGGTGGTGAAAACTGCCTAGTCCAACATTGGGGTTGCCCTCCCATCTATACAGGACATTTATGACAGACGGTGCTTGAGGAAAGCTCTAAGCATCATCAAAGACCCCACACATCTCAGCTACAGACTATATGACCCTCTGCCATCTGGAAAACGGTACTGGAGCATTCGGGCCCGGACTACCAGACTCAGAAACAGTTTTTACCCCCCGTGCTATCAAACTATTAAACCCCCAGCCTCTCTCACCTATGAACCTCACAGTGCCTTCTTTCTTACCAAAAACTCAAACACACATTCTACCTCTACCTTACATGTCAAAAAGCTCACTCCCCATAATTTTCTGTCCTTTTATTTCATTCTGTTGATTCATGTTTTTGCACATCTGATGTTGTTTTGCAAATAACCTGTTACCTTTTGTTGTTTTGCACATTACCTGTTGTCTCTGTATTTCTTTTATTATACAATTGTATTGTTGTTTTTTTTGTACTACTTATCGTCTGAGAGCTAGCAAAATAGTATTTCGTTATACCATATACCTGTATATGAGTATAATGACAATAAACTTGAAACTTGAAACTATCTATGTGTTCTGCCCATTTTCATCTTGGTTTTTACCAGGTGCTTCCAGTGTGACAGTATGTCCAAAGAAATACTGTAATGTTAATTGGCTTCTGGGAAAATTGGTCCTGGTGTGAGTGTGTGCATGTCTGTTTCTTTTGTGTGCCCTGTGATAGACTGGCTTCCAGTTCAATGGCGTATCCCGCCTTGTACCTGTTGCTTGCTGGGATAGGCTTCCTCTGCCCCGCAACCCTCAATTGAAAGAAGTGGTTAGAAAATGGATGGATGTGATGTAATAAGTGGAATTTCAAAGGGATCTATACTAGGACCACTGCTGTTCTTCATATTTGTACTTATCATCTCAATTCAGGTACAGTCATAAACTGTCAATGTGAGACAGCAATAATAAAGGCAAACAAAATATTAGTCTATCGTATATAGTCAAAAGTGTAGAATTCAAATTGTAAAAGGTTAGTTTAACATTCTACGATGCACTAGTTAGGCTTTATTTAGAATATTGCGTACAAGTTTGGTTAGCACATTACAGAAAATATTGGTGGTCTGGAATGAGTCCTGAAAAAAGCCACCAGATGCGTTCTGTGGCTTAAAGGAATGCCGTAGGCTGAAACAACTAAATATTTTAGTCCCGAACACAAGAGATTAAGAAGGGGCCTCATGCCAGTATTGAAAACCCTCCATACCAAACCCATTAGGACATTGACTAAGTCAAAGGAGTGAACTTCTTCAGAATGAACAGTGAAACATGAAACCAAGGGACACACGTGGAAAAAGTGAACACAGGAGAAACGTCTTTGCCCACTTTCTTTACCTAAAGGATTGTAGGAGTATGGAACGAGCTTCTCAGTTAGGTCGTCGAAGCCGAAACCAACTGAAATAGGCGAGATGGGCTGAATCGGCTATTGGCCGTTATATATTTATATATAGGCCATTATAAATATAGACCTAATTGCCTACAGTTATAATCCCTTTTAACTGTTTTTGTGGTTGTAAACCAGATATCACAAGTGCAGAAATTAATTAATGGCTCATTTTTATACACAGCCGTGGTGTTGAAGCCAGTACCTTGCAGCTGGGTGTGATCCTCAGATATATTAGCAACTAGCAACTGAATGTGCTCGATGAACCACATGGTCTCATCTTGTGTGTGATATTTCTTATGTTCTTAAGTCATAATTAATCAGCAACAAATTCCAAAATCCCATGGCGCATTGAAATATATCTTGTATACATTATTATAGTCTTCCTTTTCCTGCCATTGTTGACTCAAGGTCCCTATTAACAGGATGTATGCTTTCAGGTCATTACTGGTTGGTTGTGACTCAAACATACTGTACACCTGACCTAAAACACTCACTTGTCTTCGACTCTTGCATTCAATTTTATGTGTTCTGTATTTTGTTTTGTGCCTCATTTCATGGAGTGAAGTGCTTTAATGTGAATTTATAGCCTGATCATTCACAATTTTCCTGAAAGGCCTGGAAGCAGTGGTGCAACCCTAGACAGACAGTTCTTACATATTCTCCTCAAGTCCATAAGAAAACTAGCCTAACCGTTTTTCAAGCACTATAGTACATGCCTACAGACTGTGCATGGAGTGTAAATAAATTCTAACATTTTCAAACTTGCCTCTAGCAAATAAGATAAGCTGGAAAACCGTGCAATGATTTTTTACTCTTATTTTGTTAAGATAGTATTTGTTGGTCATAAAATATCTTGAAGTATATGTGTTTTAGTGGCCCTAAGCACATCAGAGACCTGAAGCAACATTGTTATGTTTGAAAAAATGTAGTTATACCATAAATTTATATCTTGATCTTCTTACTAATCATTGCACAATAGATCTGAAAACTATTCACGCTGTTGAGAAGAAAAAAATAGCCAATAACTCTGTGACTGATTGCATTAACTGCATACTGGAACAGAGGACCTCAGTGGTAGACATTTATTTATCATCACAGGTATAATCAGTTCTTTGAAGAAACCATTTTTAAACCAGAGCTAAGTACCACGTTGAGTTAAATTGAATGTAATTTAATGTGGTTAACAGTGTATGTTGTATTCATGGCCAGAAGACAAATTCTACAAAAAAAAGCTCATCCTCATGTTATCTTTATTATTCTTTTTCTTTAAAAAAAAGGCATGGGCTGTTTCTGGGGAGCAGAGAAGAAATTCTGGAGACAGAATGGTGTGTATTCCACGCAGGTGGGCTATGCTGGTGGATTCACTCCTAACCCAACCTATGAGGAAGTCTGTAAAGGTAGGTCATTACTGTACATTGATATTCTAGGAAATAAGAAGACAGGAATATTGGTGGACTAGAGCCAATAACAATTAGTTTGCTGGAAAGAATGCCATGACAGAAGCCCCCAGATATACTTTAAGTCTGATCCTGATCATAAGATATTAGACACCAAGCTAGGCTAAGGATGGTCAGTATGTGAACAGGAAATATCCAAGGAAGTTCAGGTTACTGTGTTAGTAGACAAGTAGGTGGCTCTCTTGCTTCGGAACCCAGATCTCCAAAATATAGGAAACCTATAGGAAAAGGTATTGTCCTTTAGATAAGATTTTACAAATGTTTTGTATTTTGTATTTCTTTATGCTGAATAATAATTTAGATTGTATTTTCACTTCACTCCTTATTCATCAAAACAATGAATATGTGCATGGCAGAAAATACAGCTTACATCTGGATCCTAATACTACTATAGTATCTTTATTAATGTTTGGGTGGGTAGCTCCATCAGAATGCATAGGCTGTAAAGGAACAAGTAATAGGTTTATTCCATGCTGCAAAGAGAATAAAGAAAACACAATATTTTGGCCGTGGAGCCTTCTTCAGGTGTGAGGCCTAAGGAAACATTTTATGACATAAAATGAAAACATAAAATGAAAAACATTTTATTAATGTTTGCTGGCATCATTCAAATAACAGCACTGCTGTTAGTTAGATTCATTGTAAATTCAAATGGAAGAAAATGGAAATGGAAAAGTATTGTAATATTCTTAATTCAGAATGAATGAACACTTTGGAATCAATTATACATTTTGCTATAACTTCTGTTTCTATCTTCCATCTTTGCACACATTCCTAATTTATGTTCCACTATGTTACCTGCGAGACGTTTTGTGAAAACATATCCCTGGTTTGGAAAACTTAAGTTGACAAATGTCACAGTTCTCTCACATGAGGTGGTTCATCTCATTATCAGGTTCAGTCTTTGCATTGTCACACCTAAAATGAGAACTTTGGAGATTTGCCTTTATCACAAAGAAAGCAAACATCGGTGATTCTGGGTTATAAAGTGTTGTGAAGTAGAAATTTGTTTGATGGCTTTAGTCTAAAAGCCTCTTTGCAGAGAATGTTTTTTTTAATTAGTCAAAATGCATACTCAGTGGTATTTGGACATATTTGAACATCAACATTTTGTTTCTGTTTATTTTCTGTTTTTATTCTGTTTTGAAATAAATTTTATCATTGAAATTGAAGCATTATTTTCTGTGAACAAACTGGCAGTTGCGTTTCATGTGAAGTAGGCATTTCAAGTTTAGGCATTTCAAAAATACTTTTGTGTTAAAACACAGTGAGGTTTAAAGTTCCTTCTTTTGCTTCATCACCTTTTAATACTTGATCCATCTCTGCAATAATGTTGAAAAATGATAACTAAATTCATCTATTTCTAGCCGATTTATGAAAATGATACGTCTTATCAATCTCTCATTTTCTGCTGAAGTGCTCTGACCAGCAGTTCTTCTGGTAGTGTGTTATTATCTTCACAATGATACTGTACACAAAATCTTGTGATTACGTGTGATGTTGTTTTTTTCATATAGAGTAAACTGAAGTTAGTAAAGCAGAAAACTTTCCAAAGAAAAATAAATTAAAACAATTGTCAAGAAGAATTGATTTGACAACTAGAAGCCATGAAAAAAGTACTGTATATGTGTTTCACACACATCTGATAATAACCAACAGCTACTTAACTCTTATTGTGAAAACTTTTAAAGTGAAAAATATAAAACAAAATATATTTCCATTTTTGTATGGAGCAATTAAAGCAAAGTAAAGATATTACATGTTTAGTTTACTTGTAAATTGGAGTTCTACAGGAACAAAAATTACTACTGAAATATACTGAAATTAAATAAATGGTTTAAACTGGGTCTTTTAGGATTTTTAACTGTCATAGATTGGATCAAAGTGAAATAATCAAGTGAAATAATGGAATATCAGGTCTTATTTTTAATTGCAAGACTTAAAAAATGGGATTTCATAAATTTAGCATAAGCATTGCAATAAAAATGTACTGTACACATTTTTGCTTAAGTGGAGGAACAAGTAATAGGTTTATTCCATGCTGAAAAAAAGAAGAAAGAAAACACAACGTTTCGGCCGTGGGGCTTTCTTCAGGTGTGAGCTTTTTGCTTTTGTGCTTGACATCTGTTTCAGTTTATATCATTCTCCTGACTGCAGAAGGAGCTGTCCATTCTAGAGTGCTGAATGGGACACGCAGCATGCAGTTGGGAGTGCATTTTCCTAGAAGCTTCTAAATTAAGTATTTATTGCTCGATAAAAACTATCAAAAGCTGAACAAGTCACAAAGCAAATGAATAGAATAGAATGTATTCTACTTATGTCACTCATTCTGATTCACCACTGTGCACCTGTTTTACTGCATTTGATCAAATTCTGTGCTACAGTATATGTAAGTAGAAAGCATTTAGTTCTTTGAGTGCACTGAGATCAAGTCAGTGGTGCTGCTCCATCAATCGAGCAGCACCACATTAAACACAGCAGTAGGTTTGTTTTTTGTCACCTTTGTCTTTATACTGAAGTGCTTCCCACCTCTAATCAGGCTCAGAATAATAACCATTAAGTTGGAGTGTGTGCGTCAAAATGCCTGAACATACAGTACTGTTTGTTTGTTGGATTACTTTTTGTAACTCTCAATATGCTTTTTTTGTATACAGTAACGCCTAGCCTTGAATGAGTCAGATGCACAAATAACAAATTAATATCTGACTCTGCAGAGGTTCCTGACTCACTGTTTTCACAGCCACAAATTCTAAAAATGTTTGGACAAGCTTGTGCTCTCTTGAGAGTATTTTAACAACCATATACTTGCCTGGGATCAGGCTTCCTGTCAGCCTTTGAGTATTGTTTAAAGACAGTTAAAATATTCATTTGAGTCACATTATGGAAATAAATGAATAAAATTAGTATTTGACTTTCACTGTTGCTTTCTAAAAAGATGACTAATTAGTGGTTGCTGATGTTCTGTGTTTAGAAAGGCTTTTCTTTAACTCTGCAATGTTTGGCTTACCAATTCAGTCTGCCAAACCAAACTGTCTAAATAGGTTTTAAACGCAAAACCTGAACACTGCCAATAGGTTTAAATTCTAACACTGTTCCTGCATTAGATGCAGTTATAACATGCATTTAGTTTTGATTGAAGAAATATTCTTCAATAGAAATATACTTCAATAGAAGTATCTATATGAGAAGGGATAGGAGCTGCAGGAAGCTTTACTCATCAATTGCGACATTCTCAAAACACTTCCTATCTCTGTGTCCACCCTTGATGAAGAAGCCGCTTTGTCCTAATATTGAAATTGCTGTGTACTATTTCTTGTCCTGTGCAGATGCTCCTTCTTAAAAATCAAAGGGAAGACCTGATTCACCACTGCAGTTAGACTTGCTAATCCTTGGAGAGTGTCTGTGCTGTGTAGATTGGAAATAGAGCCGATGTAAACAAGGGATTAATGGCTGCTGGAATGTCTATGGAGCACTGGCAGAGTACAAAAAAGGAATAAATAAATAATGTGGTGCTTCCAATTTAGACACTGAATCACTCTCACACCAATCACAACTTAATGTGATTTCTAGTTGCCTCATCCCTTATTTTCTGAAGAAAAAAAAACAGAATCGGGTCTCATGTTAAATTATTTTGAACTGGACCTGCAACAGCATTTGAAATATTGGCAAATGTTAAAGGTCTATAAACAAGTAAGTCCTTTGGCTTGGTGCAATACTGAAGGAGTTCCACTGGCTACTGATTTTTATTGCTTTTTTCACTGCATCGTTTTTTAGTGATGTCAGACAATTTGAGAACTTCTACTTGTGATCAGTCTGAAATAAGTCTTAAAGTCATAAAAAAGAAGAGCTGGTTTCCTCACATTTTGATCATGCTTACATGATCAAACATGCTGTTTGTTAAGCTACAGTATACTTTGCAATAATATGTCTACTATGGTTCTCGGTTTTAGGACTCTTTAACAAATTATCTCTTTTCATTTTGCAGAGCATTAAGTTCGGTTAAGGGGTTATGTACTGTAAGGTAAGGCAGTAAAATTGGCAACAATGCAAACATGATTCAAGAAAGAGAGCAATCACATTACAACGATACAGAACTATATGAACTCCCATGGATAAACTCACTTTAGGCTGTTTCATACCTGCAAACTCTACCACCTTCTGAAGTATTAAGTGCATAACTGCCCAGAGTTTATGAATAATGGGAACACATTTTCATGGGCAATAATTTATATGCATACCTTCAAATTGAGTCTTTTCATTGCTATGTTTATGAGAAAATGAATCTTTAGATCAAATTGCTCATTGTTTTCTTTTTTTTTCTTTTTTTTATCAGCATGCTTAATGGAAAGCTGGCAGATACTGTTACAACTGTCTTCACTTTGGCTCCTAATGGTTATGCATAGCCACATTCCTACATATAATAAAAAAATGCATTTTACATTAAAAGAGAATGTTATTTTCTTATTACAAATATCTGTTAAAAGAAATTGCTCTGTATATGCCAAATATCAGTATTGTATGGCTAGGACCCCAACATGTTTTAAATCCTCTCATCTCTTTTTGTTTTTATTGTCTTGTTGTCATAATTTTAATTTGCCCATTCTGTACAAGAGGGCTGTTGAAGGTATCATGTTCCTGTAGGTAGCAATGAAACTGACCCATAGGTTACTCTTTATTACTTTTTTTAATTTCAGCACTATAGATCTGCCAGTGTACACAGGTGATGTAGCTTTCCTTGTGGCAGAGTAATGATAAATGTTAATGGCAGATGGATCTCATTGGGAATGCATTTGAGGTTTTCTGCCTTTGGGCCTTATTCACATTTTTATAAATATCTGCATTTTATCCCCTTTAGACTTCAGTATGTACCTTGTACTTATAATACCCACCTGGAATCATCAAATGGTTTAATAGCTTCCTAGTATTTCTTCACCTGCTTTAAAGAATGATTGAATCATATAGATATGGTCCTTATACAGGTACATGCCTGCTTGCTGAGCCATTTCTTACGTTGTAATGTCCACAGTGGCTGACAGGAGAGTTTTTGCCAATTGGGGGAGCAGTGTGTCTGTCACTGGAGCCGTTGTATCCCCAGATTAAAAATAACAGATGTCTCAAACCTTGTCATTTAAGCCGTTTTAAAAGTGCATCAAATGTTTTTATGAGATTGGCATAAACTCTTGGTTTTCTTTTCTTATACTGGGAAACTTTCTTCAGATACCTGTGAAGCTCTAGAGGATAAATAAATTCAGCAAAGGTTAAACAAAAATAAAGCCAATTTCTGCTGCCTCATCTTCAGTTCAGGGCGCTGTTGAGGTCTGCCTATAAAGCACTTTTTAGGGAATTTTCTGAGTGAAGAGTGCTAGATAGATCCAACATTTTATTACTGTTTTTGTAAAAGTAGTGTGAGGGGTACCCAGGGTATAAACTTCATGTTTCATGTTTAAAAAGCTCAGATGTAAATTAAATTCTCTACATCAAGGCATGTACAGTACTTCTAAAATAGAGAAATTAAAAACTTTAAAATACAGCATGTAGTATTAGTAATTATATGTATGTAACTTGATGGCTAAATGGTAGTAGTTTTAGTGGTGTGTTTTCCTGACCAACAGATATGCTTGGATGTTAAAAGCATTATGCCAGTAGATACAATATCACCATGTCTTACATTCTAGACCTAGATTTGATTAAGGCTCTTAAGTATAAGACTGTATTTGAAAAAGTTTACAAAACTGGACTTTATGAAACAATAACTGCACGTTATTTCATTTTCAATGTTCTCTTTCCTAGTCCTAACCATAGGCTGAACCTTACCCCCTCCCTCAGGGTCAATAACAATATTTTTATAACTGTTTAAGATATCATTAATAACATGTTAATCGATTGCTCAAACACAATTATTAGGAGGTTTTTTTCCCTCAATATTCTGAAAATAAATAATAGAAATAGTAGAACAGTAAAGTAGAATAGTAGAAAGTAAATCTGTGAAGTCAGTAGATATTGGAGAAGTGGAATAAGGTCAGAAGAGAGAACACAGGAAAGCAGTGTATGATTTTACTCAGCTTGTCTTATTCCATTATAGTTTACCAATATTGATCTCAAGTGTCATAAATTTAACCCCTTCCCTTCACTGGAACAAAATTACCATAGAAATTAACTTCATAAAATTGATGGCTTAATGAAATTTATTGTTTTACTGACTTACACTGACTTCCCTTGCTTTAATGTAGTAATACATTTAAATTGTTATCAAATGTTTAATACTCAAAGGATTTCAGTTAATTAAGCCAAAGAACATCTTTATCAAAAACAGCACAAGAAGGACTGAAATACAGCAAGCTCAGAAGTGGACATTTTGGAAGTGAGCCTTTCAAAGTGAAAGTAGGAAAATGTGTGGACTCATTTAATACAGATTTCCCAAAAGTTTTTTTAGGTGTGAATGAATAAGTTATTGATGTGTGTGAGTAGGTTTCATGTTATTCCTTACAACCAAGTTACCAAAGTAATAGTTGTGTCTATTATTTTTAGTGTGACAATAATCATGACAATATAAGGCAATGAATGGTGTGTCATGTAATATTTTATTTTGACTGCTTTACTCATTGTACCTATAAGAGAATTTGGTGACATTTTCTTTCCCAAAGCAGTTCTCTTCAGATTAAACACAAATGGATGGTGGAGGAAAATGCATTTTGAAATCTTGTCCATGACAACATACCCCCTCACATGCCACCCACACTGTGTTTTGCTGCGTGCCAAAGTGTGTTTTACACTATTTAAATTGTGCAGGTCTTTTATTTTAAAGGCTTGCTCATATAATCTGTTTAGTATTTGTTACGCCTAGACTAAACCCTCCCCATTGCTTTCTTAAAAAATCAGAATTGTCTGTATAGAAGAAGCTATGGGCATGCTGGTGCAACACTGGTTACCATTGCTGCCTCAAAGCACAGTGCCCCTTGATTCTAGACCTGGGGTGCTTTGGATGTTCTAGACCTTTGGAGTTTGCATGTTCTCTCCATGTTCATGTGGGTTTCCTCCGGGTGCTCCAGTTCCCTCCCACAGTCCAACGACTACATCCAAAGGCCCCAGTGTGACTGTGTGTATCTGTATCTGCCTTGTGATGGACTGGCATCCCCTCCAAGGTATTACCTTTCCCTGCCTTTCTGCTTGCCAGGATAGGCTCTGGCTCTGGTTGAAGTGGTTAGAAAATGGGAAGATGGTTACAAGAAATGGTTTATGTACATGTAAGAAAGTGCGGGTAAAAGAAAATGTATTTATTTTTAAAAATCAAAGAACACACATGATTTGTGTACATATTTTGTATAGGGGAAATATTAAATGTTGTCCATTATATTTTCATAGATTAGTGTTTAACAACTTTATTTCTATACTTAACAGCCTATTGTACAGTATCATGCATGTTTCGTCATTGATACTATGGGGGAAGTTCATTTCAAAACAAGAAGGCAGTATAACCTTACAGTACTCATAATCCTCCATCTACCATCTCAACTTCTCTTCTACCCTCAACCTTAACTCTAACCCTATCCTAAGGCTGCAAGTAATAAACTAATCCTATCCCTTAATGTAACCCAAATCCTAAACTAACTACTAATTATATACCAAAATCATACTAAATACTGTGATCCTAAATTAACTCTACCTCATCTTTACAAATCTATCTATAACCCTACTCAAACTAATTTTAAACTCAGACTTTCTATACCTCTTTCTCTTTCTTTATCACAGTCCTACCTGTATTCTAAAACTCACCCTAGTGCTAGTACTGAACTGGATCTTACCCGTAACTGTAAGCCTCCCTATATTTAACCTCACCAGACCTGAGACTAACCCTATACCAAACCTTAACTGTTGATTTATTAGTATTCCTAGCCATAGACCTAACCTGAACCTTACCTGTATTCCTCAGGTAAAACTGGACATGCAGAGGTTGTTCGAGTTGTGTACCAGCCTGGAAAAATCAGCTATGAAAAGCTACTGAAGGTGTTTTGGGAGAGCCATGATCCCACACAAGGTACAAATTATATGCAGTCTTGAGGAATGAGAGGAATTTTGATTGAATGTCCGTGTGTGTATCAGGGTTACAAACAGGGATAAAGAGAGAGTCTGTGACTCAACTGTTAGGTTTTTTTTTAATTCTGTGTTATCTTGTTCATCACCCCAGTAATTTGTTTTACTTGATTTGAAACAGAAAAAAAGAGCTGCCATTTTTTACTTGTAGTAATTAGGGGTTTTGTTGGCAGTTTAATACAGTTATATTCAGAATCAGAAAGAGAAGGGCATAATAGCAAAATCCCAAACAGAGGTATAAAACATGATTTGCTTTCATTGATTTTTTTTCTCCCTTTCCAAATGCCTTGAGATCTGGGGCACAGAAATTCACCAAGAATATCTTCCTGAACTCCTAATCTGTGCCTTTTGGTATTCAACTCACATATCCGAATACAGCAAAGGTTGTCAACGGATTTGATTAAAAATACACAGGCTGACCTGTCCTTATTAAATCTCTTGATTTGGAGGCACTCGGATTGATAAAAGACGGCTTGTGTTGTGAACATACAGAAACACATAGAATTTCCAATATCGTAAGAAAATCTTCTATGATCTTATTGGTTTCATCTCAGTTATCACACATGAAAAGGGCTACTTGTGTTATCTAGTGCAGTTAGTCTTCTTAAATGCATTTCAACACTTTGCTGGAGGAGATTATGTAGATTGAAATGAATAGGAAGAGAAGTAGTACTGTATTACCATATTTCACAATATTTGCTAAAAACGAGGAAGATCTTTGATTTATATGCATTACCAATGCCCTTGTTTTGAATTGTATTGTACCAAATGCAATATTACAATGTCACTTTTAAAAGAGGAAAAAAAGAGCTGTGACACTACAAACCTGCACATTTCTTCACAATACAGTAGTTGCAGATCTAGGATGCCATTCAGTATGTAGATATCTTTGTGGATAATAACTTAATAACTAAATTGGGGCATTATCATGTATTTCTAGGTCATCTCACTATTATCCAGCCAATAGGTCATTCAATAGTCCCTCACTGTGCGACTTCTTTGTTAATTTATTCATCAATTGTCCTTCACCTGCTAGGCTTGCATAGTGGAGAATTGTTCTTTCCTTGAAGATTGTTAGATGCCATTTGTAAGGTTTGATATTTCAAAGGTAAAAAAGTAAAGCAGGGGGCTTGTTATCTTTCTCCCCAGGCAAGTGCTTGTCTGCATACATCCTGTCTCTTGTTAAGGTCAATAATCATTTTCTATCAGGATTTTATCATCAAAGAATATTAAGCTCAGAGCAGTGAAATAATTAGCCGTGAGCACTTTTTGATCAAGGGAACTGTTCTTTGATTATAATTATATAGAGTTTTTTTTCTTAGTTTTCAGGTAACTTTATATTTGATTGACTGTGAATTACTGTAGTTCTCCCTCGGAAAAAGGTAGACATTTCTAAAGCGGTGTTTAAAAAAAAAAGATTTATGTGGCTCACAAGATTAGTTTCAGTGGAAGGAGGGGTAAGAGCCAGAAGGTGACATGATGACAGGTGCTATTGTAAGATGTATTTAAGTTCTTACAAATTGAGAACTGACTGCTCTGTTTCAAATCTATTTGAATATAAACTTCTTTTTATTTTTAGTTGGTACAAGCACAGGTCACAACTATTCTGTAAAGGAGCTTTTCCATTCTCCCTATTTTCCTGATGACTGAAGTATAGAATTTCCTAAATATACATCATCAAATATTCTTTGAAACAAATGAATTCAATTAATGTGTCTTATTTACATAGCTAATACCAATATGTGACTGAGATTACTGGATTTATCTGGAGTTTTGATTTGTCCTAATTTATTATACTTTTTTTTTCTTACAACCACAAGTGCCGTAATATAATTCAGCACTGAATTCTCGTCTTGTATAGGAATGCGGCAGGGCAATGATATAGGAACACAATATCGATCTGCTATCTACACTTCCTCTCAGGAGCAGACAGATGCAGCTATCAGGTCTAAAGAGGAATACCAAAAGGTAATTTTCACTTTTGTTTTTATGTTAACTGTCTATTTCTAAATCTGGAATTATGCATCTCTTTTCCATGTATATGTCCAAAGGAAATTCTGACTCTTGCAGACTGAATGGACAAAGCATTGAAACTTGTATCTTGTATCTTCCTGTATGTTTTTAATAGTTAAATACTATTTAAACATACAGGCTGATTGCCTCTGTGATACAAAAGCTCACTTTCTCTCACTTAGCCCAGCCTTCATACAGTAGTCCTGGTCTTGTTGGTAGTTTTGAATCCAAGATGTTTTACTGACCTCTTAATTGAACCATTTGTCTGATGGACCATTTCAGTGGTATTCTGCTCCTACAAAGGAGAAGCTTTCAACATACTTTTTAATTTTTCCATGTAAAATAAATTCTACAAAATATAAATGGTAAATTATTATTAGTCAAATTACGAAATCAAGAGCTCAGCAGGAACAAACACCAACCACACACTGGGATCATGTAATCCAAGACTGGAAAGTCTTACCCTATAGCTTGCAATAAAACAGTCACACTTGGCCTTAGCACTTGACCAATATTAAGCACTATTCAGGTTAAACAAATACACACTCTTGGGGGCATTTACTCTCAATAGACTAAACTTAGCATTAAGGCTGTATTTTGTAGTATCCTGGACATGTTAAAGTTACAAGTAATAGGTTTATTCCATGCTGAAACGAGAAGAAAGAAAACACAACATTTCACTTCTTCAGGTGTGAGCACGGCCAAAACGTTGTGTTTCCTTTCTTCTATTTTCAGCATGGAATAAACCTATTTCTTGTTCCTTTGCAGCCTATGCATACTGACGCAGCTCCCCACCTGAACTACTTCATGTTAAAGTTAGCCTGATATCTATACCTTCTCAAATATATCAAGATATGGATGTGGATGTGTGGGATTAACCTCAAGTGATGTGTAAAATAGTTTAATGCAAATTGTTTACAAACTGCAGGACTATGACTACTGTGGTCATACAGTACTGTAGTAGCTAAAATCATAGACATGAGTTGGTTAAATTAAAGGCTACAGTAAAACACAATCATTGGATTGTTATTGCAACAAGAATTCACAAATTCCCTTTATGTTTAGTTTCACCTGTTTACTGAAATATTTAGGGTTTTCATTCAGATCTATAGGTAAGAGTTACGAATATTGATAGATTAATGGCCCTCACACTCAAGATCAAGCAATTTCAATTTTCAACAAAACAGAAAAAGCAGAGACATATACTCCAATCATACAGTATTGATTGTGCTGCAGAGTTTTTTACTTGAGCTGCAGGGTTTCTTTTTGATATTTCTTCTGAAATGATTTGCTGCACAATGTAATTATCAGTAAATGGATTTTGATTCTAGATAGTATGTTCCAGTGGTTTTCACTAAAAGGTGTACAGTACAAGATTAATCTAGAAACATGAAGGAGAAACTCTTCCAAGGCGGTTTCTGTAAAGATTTCTCAAAGATCATTGTTTGAAAGTTTGGAATTTGAGGAATTTGAGTACTTTTTTTAAAAAACTGTTAATATGCACTTTACTGTAGTATGCCACTATAAAAAGCAAAGCAACATACTGTAAAACACAATGAAATTAATGTAAATGAATCAGTTGCTTCATAGTACTGTAGAGGCACTCACATAGTACATACTTTGTTGAAACCATGACTATATTGGATTAGAGTGTGTGCTATACCATGATACACTTACAATGACAGCTTTGTTGTCTGTTGTGCCACTCTTAAAACAGTATATCAGTCTCTCCATCTTCACTGCATTGTCCTTTATGGCAGCAGTCACTGGTCTGTCCAGCTGTTCAGACTATTCATTTTCCATCACCGAGCAGTTTCTACCAAATTATTCTGTCATTCTCCTCTGAATGTCGCACAGTTTGACACCCCCAACAAAGACACAACCTGGTCAGTCTTCTCTTCTCTAACACAGCACGTTTGTAGTGACACAACCATCCATCCAGCATGACAACCAGAGAATTGAGAAGTAAGTGGTCAACCAATAGCATGTCAGAGAACTTTTTTCAGTAAATCCTAAAAACAAAATAGGCATGAAAGGTTTCTCAAAGCCTTTCAACTTTACTGCTGTTGTGAATTAATCAATTTTAACTCAGAGGCCAATGTAGAGACCTAAGTCCTAAGTCCTTTTTTTCAGCCTAATTCTGCTGTTAATGTACAGACTGATGGAAAGTTTATGTAAAAGATCCAGTGTAAGTAAGGCAGTTTCCTTCTTTATGTATGAAATGGCTTATGAAAAATTTGGAGCAGGGTAGTTACTCACTGCAAAAAACAAAGGAAGTAAACAGGTTAATAATTGATGCTTCACCACAAGCTTGGAAGCAGATGTAAAGTTCCATAATATAGACAAGTAGTAGATAAACATTTTTTCTTCTTGTTCCAGTCAAAGCTCAATGCTAATCATCACATAGTGAGCATGCATCAAATCTGCACCATCTACATAATGCATATGCTTCTCTTTAATTGACAAGGATTGCAGGCAAATGTGGATTCCCTTGGTGAATCGAAATGGAGGTAGCATTTCCTCAGTAGTGCAAACAGGAAACACAGGGTGGTACACACTGAAAGCAGTAAGGTTTTTATGTCTTTGTGTATGTGTGGAGGAAATTGAGCCTCAGAATTAGCAGAACCTGTGTTATACCCAGTTGTTTTGTTGGACATAAAGTCCAGAGGCAGTTAATTGTGGAACAAACATTGCAGTTGACAATGGCAAGAAAGTCACAGTTTTACATTTTCAAAAACTGGACGATTACAGCATTAAAAGCTAACAGTCATCATCCAGAAGTAAGTTTAAGTATGTGCAAAAGTCTGTTTAAATATGTAAAATAATTGATTGTGTTGTCTTAACTGGATGTATGAAGATTAAATCCTTGTTTAAAAAATAAAAAATAACTTATTTCCACACAAGTCCTATGTGATTATATGCTCACACAAGTCCTTTCAGTGTAAATTATTTCATACTGTAATGTAGTGATGTTTATATAAAATTTTACATGCACTACTTTAAAGACATTTACAAAGACTGAAATTCAGTGAAAGCAATCCATGAAATTAATAAAACATAAATTTCACACATTTGTGAAAAAATGTTTTAGCTCTATGATGATCTTGTATATAAAATAGACTAATGATGTTTGAGGTTCCTGAATTATTGATTTGTGTTTTACAATGTGAAAACCATGGATCTGGTCTCAGACCATCTCCACCTCAGCTAAGCGATTTTTCCTATCACAGAGGCTGAAACCCACCCTTAATGCAGAACTGGGGTGTACTACCACCTCTTTCCAGCAGAGGCCGCAATGAATACGTTCTCTCTGCATAGACGCATTGCAGACAAACAGTAAGGCTAATGTTATAGTGAGTCATGTGTCCCGTTTAATTGAATAATCCCGATTTTTAAAAGATTGTAAGCACTACGAAGATCAGAGAAAGTGTTGTGATATTACATAATGTGAAATAGACAGGAAAAGAAACAGTTCAGTCCTTTTCACGTCTGTGGCTCATTTTTATTACTCTTTCACATGATCATTTTTATTTTTCCTTTCACAGAGGGAACCTTGACATATTTGTGCACAAGAGCATATACGTGTGTATTTATGTAGTGGAAAGCATTAAAAATGCAACAAATGTTATTGTTTTCAATAATAATTTGTTACATTTTTAATGCCAATAAGCACAGTACATATAAAGGCCAGCCCATACTGTAATGCTGTGCAAAACTAACACATGCAACATGCTTCACTCATGTGAATTTCATTGTTCTTTTGGATCAGCAATATGATGGCTTCTCCATTGCTGAGACAGCTTGCACAGCCTGCCTTTGATTTTCATTTTGTGTTCCGCTTTTAATAGTCACCACCATAAATCTAACAGCATCAGACACGGGATCAGACAAGAAAAAGCACCTGTTTTCATCCTGTGGATTAGAAAAGGTCTTTGCAATCATAGTAACCGTGGAGAATACTGAGGCAGCCTTTGTTAGCAAACTGGTTTATTCGAAAAGCACTGCTCTTCAAAAGTCCTTCAGTTTGACTTTCTTTACAACATCGCAGCAGTCCAGCAAGGAGAATGCACTGCAGAGCTCCTCTAAGGTCAAATCCATCTGCAGTGCTCACATTCCTTCCCAATGACAGAAATAACTGTAAAAGTTTTAAAAATTAATTAACCGGCTTTAGGTCTCTTCTTTCCCAGCCCCAGGCTGGATATAGTCCTGCGGCCTCCAGCTCTCATTTGTTATTATGTGTCCTTGTGAGTCTCTGTATAAAGTGGTGGTGTCATGTCTGTTTGTTAAAGATATACACAGCACCGCAGCAAGTTCCTCTCTGTTTTTACCTCCATAAATATGTACTACATGAACTGTTTTAGCTTGTAAGGGTTTATTCTATTAAACAAAGCTAACTGTTCAAAGGTTTTAAACAAAGTTAAAGTTGAAGGGAATTAGATGAAACTGACTGACTCAGATGTTATGAAGCACACAAGTAGATTAGCACAAATCTCTATGTGAATCAGTTCCTTGTGAACTGATTTTTGTTGTCGCTGTGCGGCCTATTTATTTTGTGTCCTGTAAACTAGAGTCAAACTTAGGAGAGGACTGCAGGCAACTCTCCTCTGTGAATTATTATTAGTTTTTCTAGTGGTACATGACTGAGCATGGTAAGAGCAATCTCAGTACTACTGAGAGCTAATGTAGCAATTTTGCACTACATCTGTATTTGCTATAAAAAATCTAAACAGAATTTTTAATCGACCCTGATTAGTATCAGACCAAAAAAGTCTTGTCGAGAGGCTCATGAACTCACCCAGGAACAAGAGAGAAAAGCTAGGTTTATTTTTTTCCTCACAGTACAGTAACCACTGCTGATTCTGATGGAAGTCACCTGGCTTAAACTCATTTGTCCAGTGATCAATAACTCAGCGGCACCAATTGATCAACTTTCCTGGATACAAAGAGATTCAGTT